AAATATATAAAAAATTGATGTGGGTACTCAAATGAAAGCTCTTGATGAATGTAACATCAGGATGAGCTTATATCTTTAAAAACATCAATAGTTAAGTAAGTACAGTGCAATTTAACAAAATTCATTATTTAATAAAGCAAAATTTTACTCATAGTATTAATAAATTTCATTAAAAAATCAAAAAAAGAAATTTAATTATAATTTTCTCCAATTAAACAGGAAATAATCCAGAGCTTGTATGCAAGCATCTATCAAAGCTCTACGATTCAATATCAAACCTAAAATGGAAGCTCGACTCAGGAAAACCAACAAAACTAGCTTTTTCCCTGATAGCAAAGGACGGCGAAGAAATGGTGATGCACGGAGTGTGCGACTGTAGCGGAGTTGTCGAAGTCTGGTTGAACCGGTTGACCGAGAGCATGCAGAAGAGCGTCAGATACCACTTCAACCAAGCAGTGAGATCCTACGATGACAAACCTAGAGAGCAGTGGATTCTGGACTATCCAGCTCAGCCTGCGCTTTGCGGGACTCAGATCTGGTGGACTGCGGAAGTGAACATGGCGTTTGCCCGGCTAGAAGAAGGATTTGAAAGCGCGCTGAAGGACTATCAAAAAAAGCAAATAAATCAATTGAACACACTCATAACAATTCTGTGTGGTGAACTGACCGATAATGAACGCCAGAAAATAATGACTATCTGCACAATTGACGTACATGCCAGAGATGTTGTGGGGAAATTAATAACAACTCGAGCTGAAAACTCGTCCAATTTTCAATGGCAGTCCCAGTTACGACACAGGTCAGTTATTTGTTATGATTTATGATCATTAATATTTTGCAAAGTGGAAAATTTTAATTTGCGACCTCTAGATATAAATATGATAATTATTTACAAGTAGGGTCAACACTATTTTGGGCCATAACTAGGTGTCAAAAATTAACAATTAAAATTTTTTTTTATTCTGCTTGTTTTTATGGCGCGTTTATGACAAAAAATGTCGTGAAAGAAAAAAATTAAGATTTCAATAGCTTTTTTGCCTTCAAAAATTGGAAAAAATTTTGGCTCTCATGTTTTTGGATAAAATTTTTATTTGATCTTTTTTTATGTTTTTGATATATTTTTTTTTAAATAGTACATAAAAAAACGAACAATTTAAAAAAAAGAAATCAACTTTTTTTTTTTAATTGTTCATTTTTTTTTTAAATTCTTCGAAAAAAAATATATCAATAAAATCAAATAGAAATTTCGTTCAAAAAAATGAAAACTAAAATGACTGACCGATCCGACTTGTAAATATTTACCATAAATATTAATGATTCAAATTTTTGCCAGTTTTTTATTTTGGAATATAAAAAATGTCGGTTTTTTTTTTAATACAACCTAGAATGTATAAATGTATATTTTTTGTGCAGGTGGGATGATGGGATCGGTGATTGTTTTGTTAATATCTGCGATGCAAATTTCGCATATGGGTACGAGTACCTAGGAAACGTTCCACGCTTGGTTATAACTCCATTGACAGACCGTTGTTATATAACACTGACACAATCGCTGCATTTAGTGATGGGTGGTGCTCCTGCTGGTCCCGCGGGAACTGGCAAAACCGAAACAACCAAGGATTTAGGTCGCGCGCTGGGTCAAATGGTCTATGTTTTTAATTGCTCTGAACAACTGGATTATAAAGTTAATTATAATTGTATTCTTTTTCATCCTCTGTGATAAAATACCCGGTGATGTAATTGATAATTTACAATTTGTGTACATTTATTCATTAACAGTCGTGTGGAAATATTTATAAAGGACTCGCGCAAACTGGAGCATGGGGATGCTTTGATGAATTTAATCGGATATCTGTCGAAGTACTCTCTGTGGTCGCTGTTCAGGTTAAATGTGTTTTGGATGGCGTCAAGAGCAGAAGAAAAAAATTTATGTTTTTTGGAGAAGAGCTCAATCTGATAAATACTGTTGGGATGTTCATCACCATGAATCCTGGGTACGCTGGACGGACTGAATTGCCGGAGAATTTGAAAACGTTGTTCAGGTATTTATACATTTTTTTTTAAATAAAACTACCGAGAGGTAAAAATTATAACTTGATAAATGCTGGCTCAGTATTTTTAAATATTTCAAAAAACATAAACAATTTTGTAAATATTAATATTGATTTGTTTTTTATAAAATTTTTCTTTTTTTATTTTTAATACTAAAATTATCAAACTTTTGATAATTTTTATAAAAAATCAATTGTAACAAGAAATAAATTTTTTTAAAAATTACCTTAAGTAATTTTTTTGAATTGTTATTAATAAATTTACGAAAATTAAGATAGTATTAAAGTTAGCCGACGTTTTTAATTTTTTGATTTTTTTTTTAATAATTAAATTAGAACAAAAAAATAATTTTTAAAAATTCCACTTACAATTTTTAAAGTTTTTTACAAATGAAAATTTTTTTCTTTTTTTTTTTTTGTAGTCATTTTTTCAATAAAAATTAAAAAAATTTTTTTTAAATTGAAAAAATGTTTACAAAAAAATAAAAATAAAATTTCACTTGTAAAAAACTTCAAAAACTATAAGTGCAATTTTTAAAAAATATTCTTTTGTTCTAATTTAATTATTAAAAAAAATTAAAAACGTCAGCTAACTTTAGTATTATATAAATTTTATTCGTAGTAATTCAATTGTTATAAAAATCTAAAATATTGTTTGTTGTTTGCGAATTTCGGAATTATTTATTTATAATTATAAAGAAACAGTTAATAATAATAATAATAATAATAAGCATAAAAAAAAAATTTAATCAAAAATCACTCACCAAAGTCGCTCAAGAGAGATCAGCAAAAAAAATTTTTCTAGTATTTTATCACTTTCACACAAACCCGGTCACTGAATCGAAAATTAAATTGATTTCAACACTAATACAAAATAATTATTTTTTATGAAAATAAATTCAGCAGATATTAAATAATTTTTAGAATTTTTTTTTTTAAATAAATTACGGTGAAAAAAAAATTGGCATGTAGAAATTAAAATAAATGAAAAATGCAATTTTTTAATAATTATTCTTTAGAACAAATTTATGAAAAAAAAATTAAAAAATTCTTTAATGACTGCTAACTTTACTATCATTTATTTTTTTCTAAGCAAAATTATTCAAAAATCACGAGCTAAAATTATTAACAATTCCGACATTTTGTTTGACAAATCGCGACCCGAGACATTGAAATTCTTATTTAATATTTTTATATCTATTTTTACTTAACTGGCCCTAATTATACTCTCTACGTATCATCTAATACTAAATATTCCTAATAGTAACATATTTTGGACATAATTACGCGGTTAAACTAATTATTTTTGCTAAATTATGCATGAGTGCGCATTTTTGGTGCAACAAATTTCGAGTTCTAGCTTGATCTGATTTCGCTAACGGAAAGCTGCGCAGTAGACGCTGGAGTGGTTTAGGGTGCGGCGAGATTTGAATTGATTGGTCGCGCAAAAGCTGCGCGCGCATCGGCGCAGAATTTAAACTTTGAATTTTTTCTACTTTATCAAAATTCTTTTTCAATTTAATTTTATTATTTTTTTTTTTATTAAATAAAAAACTAATAAATAATATTTTAATTTAAAAATTACTATTTATAATTGTAATATTAAATTTTTAATAATTAAATTTTTTAAAATTACACATTTAGAAATTTAAAAAAATTATTAAAGTAACAATTTTTTTTAATAAAATATTATTTTATTTGTTTATATTAATAATTATTATTTAAAAAAAAAACAATAAAGAATACTTCAATTTAAAAATTATTATTTATAATTGTAATATTAAATTTTTACAAATTAAATATAAAAAAATTCCACATTTAGAAATTTAAAAAATTTATCAAAGTAATTTTTTTTTTAAATAAAAAAAATTATTTTCTCATATGTTTATTTTGATAGTAAGTAATTATTATATTAAATTTATAAATAATTGTAAACAATTCTTTAAAATAAAATAATTATTTTCAGACCCTGTGCAATGGTAGTTCCAGACTTCGATTTAATTTGCGAAATAATGTTAGTAGCTGAAGGGTTTCAAAAAGCTCGTCTATTAGCCAGGAAGTTTATAACTCTGTATTCGCTTTGTCGAGAATTACTGTCAAAGCAGGATCACTACGATTGGGGTCTTCGTGCAATTAAATCAGTTCTGGTTGTCGCTGGCAAGCTAAAACGTGACGATCGTCAGCGTCCAGAAGATCAAGTTTTAATGAGAGCTCTACGTGACTTTAATACTCCAAAAATAGTTACCGATGATGTACCGGTATTCATGGGTCTGATCGGCGATTTATTTCCGGCGCTCAATGTTCCGCGTAAACGCGATATCCAGTTTGAAAAAACTGTGCGTCAAGCTGCTCTTGATCTGAAAATGCAACCAGAGGACGGATTTATCCTGAAGGTAACTATCAATCATTATTATGAATATCATAAATATAAATGTTATAAATTAGTAAGCTAATCGATATTTTTTAATTTACAGATAGTACAACTCGAAGAACTTCTTAATGTTCGTCACTCAGTTTTTATTGTTGGAATGGCTGGTACAGGAAAAACTCAAGTTTGGAAATCTCTTTATCGCACTTATGTTAACCAGAAACTTAAACCTTGCTACAATGATCTAAATCCAAAAGCCGTATCTAATGACGAACTTTTTGGAATTATTAATCCTGCGACAAGAGAATGGAAAGACGGGTGTGTATAAATTAATTTTATTAATCATTTTTTAACAAATTAATCTTATTAATAGTTTTTTTAATAGATTAATATTTTAATTTCTTTTCATTAATTAAATAAGGATTAAAAAAATATTTTTAAAAAATTGCACTTAGAGTTTTTCATATCTTCTCAATATGGAATTTTTTTTAATAAGAAAAAATTTTAAAATTATTTTATCTCTGTTAACTTCAATGTCATTAATTATTTTCTAACTAAAAATCAAATTTTTATTAGAATAAATTAGCTTAAATATTTATAAATAAATTTTAAATTAATAAATTAATTAAAAAACCATTAAGCTGATTGAATGAATATAAATATGTTAATTACATGAAATAAAAAAGTTAATTTTGTAATAATTTTCTGGTTATTAAAATGAAGAATCCAATAATTTAGCGGGTTGAAATAAAATGATAAATAATTGAATTAAAATTATAATTACAAATTACCAATTGCAACTGAAAATCAAAGTAGGGCATTAATGTATATTCCTAGATATTAAGCGTTTAAATGAACCCTTGAATTATGAATACAGTTTGTTATCAATACTAATGCGCGATCAGGCAAATATGTCCGGTAATGGACCAAAATGGATTATATTCGACGGTGATATTGATCCGATGTGGATTGAATCGCTTAATACCGTGATGGACGACAACAAAGTATTAACGTTGGCGAGTAATGAGCGTATCGCATTGACTAAATCAATGCGATTATTATTTGAAATATCAAATTTACGTACTGCTACTCCTGCTACTGTTTCAAGAGCTGGGATTTTGTACATAAATCCGCAGGACCTGGGCTCTAACCCGTAAGAATATTTATTTTTATTTTATTTACACACTAAATTTAATTACTGAAAATAATTAAATGAATGATTAATTGCAGATTTATCATAAGCTGGATAGAAACACGGAACAATTCAGAGCGCGCTAATTTAATGATTCTATTTGACAAATATTTACCATTATTACTGGAAGTGTCGAAAATAAAATTCAAAAAAATAACACCGATACCAGAAATATGTCACCTACAAATGCTGTGTAATTTATTGGACTGTTTACTGATAAATGATAATTTGCCACCAGAGTGTCCAAAAGAATGGTACGAATTGTACTTTGCGTTTGCCTGCATCTGGTCCTTCGGTTCGACGCTTTTTAAAGACCAATTGATTGATTGGCGGAATGAATTCAGCAAGTGGTGGCTGAGTGAGTTCAAAACAATTAAATTTCCGTCTGAAGGAACAGTCTTTGACTACTACATCGACAACGAGACAAAAAAATTCGTTCACTGGAAGAATATAGTCGGGAAATTTCAACTGGACATGGATATTCCTCTGCAAGTAATTTTAAAAAATAAATAATTATTAAATTATTATTATTATTATTATTATTATTATTTCTTTATTATATAAACCTAACAGCCCTGCTGGGCCAATAGTAAGGTTACAAAAAGTTACATTTAGTAATTATAAGTGGCGCATGTAGCCAAGTGACACAATCATTTGTGATAACAATTAGTATAAAGTATGGATTATATAAAATACAATATAAATTATTAATCAAGTATTGTAGTAATTATATACAACATAGAGATTATGTCAAAGTAGTATATAATACATTGATATAATATAAAATATATGAAAAATTGATGTGGGTACTCAAATGAAAGGTCTTGATGAGAGTAACATTGGGATGAGCTTATATCATTAAAAATGTCAATATTTCACAAGATACAGGATCACTTCTTAATTATGTATCTGGAGATAGAGAATTTTCGAAATCTTGAAACGGCACAAATTCAAATAGACCTTTGCAATGACACTAAATTTCATTAAAAACACCGATTTTATCACATGGCTATTCTGGACACAAAATTTTTCTTATTTTCTTAATAACATAGATAATAAAAATTATAAAAAAATTATGAAGAGTATACTTAGTTATAATAATTATTATTTCTTCAAGTCTTCCTTAGTTCCAACCGGCGAAACTGCACGTCTGCGTTTTTTCATGGATATGTTAATGAAGAAAAAAGCCCAAGTTATGTTGGTAGGAAGTGCTGGCTCAGGAAAAAGTGTTATTGTTACCGACAAACTGTCTTCTCTTTCGGATAATTATAATGTCGCTAATATTCCGTTTAATTATTATACTTCTTCTGGTAATAATTATCTTTTTAATTATTTTTACTGCCCTGTAATTATGTACTTAAAATTATTAATTTAATTGGGCAGAAATGCTTCAGCGTATACTTGAAAAGTACCTCGAAAAAAAGGCCGGCCGTAATTATGGCCCGCCTGGTACCAAACAATTAGTTTACTTCATTGATGATATGAATATGCCGGAAGTTGATGCTTATGGAACTGTCCAACCTCATACTCTTATAAGGCAACATCTCGACTACAATCATTGGTAAATTTTTCAATTAAATAATAATAATTTTTTATTAAAAAAAAAAAAATATATTTTAGGTACGATAGAGTAAAATTAACTCTAAAAGACATCCACAATACACAATATGTATCTTGCATGAATCCAACAGCAGGAAGTTTTACAATAGATCCGCGGTTACAAAGGCACTTTGCAGTATTTGCTGTCAGGTACTTGAATGTATATTTAATAAAATAATTAACCCTTTAAACAAAAGAAGTAATTAATAATTGTAAAGGATTTTGTGAGTAGTTTTCCAAGTCAGCAAGCGCTGGTAACAATTTACAGCCAAGTGTTGGAGCAGCACTTCTCAAACCCGGCGCAAAAAATCGACCATAAGCTACACTCAGTGATAGAACCGTTGATAAACACAGCGCTGTATCTCCACGAAAAAATAACCAGCAGTTTCCTACCAACGGCCACAAAGTTTCATTATATATTCAATTTACGGGACTTATCAAATTTATTTCAGGTAGAGTTTCAGTTATAAGCTGTTTTGCGTCAACTAAGTTATACTAGACTAGGAGTTTTATTATTGATGACTTAATTAGTCAAGTTTTGTTTTGTTTGACACGAGTTTTGTGTTTAGTTGTTTTGAGTTGGGTTGTTGAGCGACAAACAATAATATGTAACTTAATTGCAGGGCTACTTGTTTGCCAATGGTGACACAATTTCAAACTCGACAGAAGCTATTCGTTTATACGTCCATGAAGCGAGCCGTGTGTATTGCGACAAGTTAGTTAATTTTGCCGACAAGAACGCCTTTGAAATTATTATGCATGAAGCGCTCAAGAAAAATATCAGTGTAAGAATTATTTTATTTATTTACTTCTGGATATTTTAAAGACTTGGTCGTTATCGTGATGACGATAAACGCACAAAAATACAGTAATTTTTAATTTATTTAAAATACAGGACATTGATGAGTCGTTAGTATTTGAAAAACCGCTTATCTACTGTCATTTCGCGGAAGGTATGGGCGATCCCAAGTACATGCCAATAAAGGAATGGTCTCAGCTGTCAAAACTACTCGACGAAGCTTTAACTAATTACAATGAATTGGTAATAACTTTATATTAATTTACTTTAGTAACTCTGTAATTTTGATAACATAACATAAATAATAATCAAACACTAACTGGTAAAATTAATCTGGAATATTGATCCAGAATATTGTGATTAAAATTTTGAGCTAACTACCAATTTGTAAATTGAATTTTTGGATAATTGACGGAAACTCGTAACCCAATGACGTAACCACTAGACTACTAGCTACTTGGAAACTAAACTTCCAAAGTCCATAACTCGTTATACCTGCAAGTCTTCTGGTGATTGGTTTATCAGAGCTTTCCTATGATTTCACAAAACGAACTAAATTTGATCGTAGTTTTTAAAAATTATCCAATAATTTTTGTAGTAAATTCTTCTAGGACAAATTAAAAGTAATTTCATATAAATAAAATTTTTTTCAAAGTGAATTTTATTACAGATGAATTAAATCAATTCAAAAAATTTTTTATAGTGTTAAAAATTTTCTAATTATTTACAAGTAGGGTCAACCTTATTTTTGGCCATATTTAGGTCACAAATTGACATTTTCAAATTTTTTTTTATTCTGCTTGTTTTTACGGTGCATTTATAATAAAAAATGTCGTGAAAGAAAAAAATAAAAATTTTGATAGATTTTTTGCCTTCAAAAGTTGGAAAAAATTTTGGCTCTCATGTTTTTGGATAAAATTTCTATTTTATCTTTTTTTGATATATTTTTTTTGAAAAGTACATAAAAAAACGAATAATTTAAAAAAAAAAAGTTTATAAATTTTTTTGAAAATTTCTTAAAATTATAATCAACTTTTTTTTGTAATTATTCATTTTTTTATATATTTTTCAATTAAAAATATATCAATAAAATAGAATAGAAATTTTGTTCAAAAAAATGAAAATTAAAATTGTTGACCCCACTTTTAAATATTTACCAAAAATTTTTCAAATTTTAATAAAAGTTTGTAAAATAATATAAAAAAAAAAAAATTTAATAATTTCAGGTATCAGCGATGAATTTAGTAATGTTTGAAGATGCAATGTATCATGTTTGCCGTATAAACCGTCTTCTAGAATCCCCGCGAGGCAGTGTATTGTTAGTAGGAGTCGGTGGTAGTGGAAAGCAATCTCTGTCTCGTTTAGCATCCTTTATTTCCGGACTTGAGGTACATATAAAGTCGCTTAATTGCTTCCGCCTATTTTAACACCACCCAGCAGTGTTGATATTTAATTGGTTTTAAAATGTATATTAAAATCTAAAATCTAACAATAATTATTAAATTTCTGACAGGTTTTTCAAGTTCAGCTGACAAAAAACTATTCAATAAGCGATTTAAAATTAGATTTAGCAGAATTGTATCTAAAAGCGGGGCTAAAAAGTATTGGAATAACTTTTCTTATGTCAGACTCGCAAGTCGCGCAAGAAAATTTTTTAGTCGTCGTTAATGACATGCTGGCATCTGGCGAGATTGTCGAGCTTTTTCCGGACGATGAAGTTGATAGAATAATAAATACCGTACGTAATGAGGTGAGTGTTTTAAAAAACCCGGATTTTTTTTTTATTCTCCCAAATCTGAATCTGGATCTAAATAAAATGACTTTTGATTACGGCAATCTGTTGCAGGTGAAACTCACCGGGCTGATGGACACGAAAGAGAATTGCTGGAAATTCTTCATCGATCGCGTAAGAAAGCAACTCAAATGCGTGTTATGTTTCTCGCCAGTCGGAATTACTTTGAGGAAGAGAGCCAGACAGTTTCCGGCACTGGTCAATTGTACGTCTATCAACTGGTTCCAAGATTGGCCACTTAATGCTTTGGAATCTGTTTCTATTCGATTTATTGCGGTAATTATTATTATTTTTCACCCTTCAAGTCTTGAAGAATTTTCAATTAATTAATTACTAGCAAACTTGCAGTCACTGTGTGACTGCCGTGACTAGTGATCTACAAATAAATAAAATTTTGCTTTATTAAATGATGGATTTTGTTAAATTGCACTGTAATTACTGAACTATTGATGTTTTTAAAGATATAAGCTCATCCCGATGATACACTCATCAAGAGCTTTCATTTGAGTACCCACATGCATTTTTGATATATTTTTCGTATATACATATTTGATGCACCTCAACTTCTCTCACCTTTCAAAAATCCAAGTTTATATTTTTTTTTTTTGTCAATTTACCTTTTATGCTTTTTAAGGCATCAATATAAATGTACAACCTGTAGCCTGATTAATTTTTACTCTGAAGATTATACTTCATTTTAATAGCGCTTTTTATCTGAAAAGCTTTTTATTTTTTCAAGTGACAACGACTAAAAAAATTTAAAAGCGTCCTTGGAAAAGATGATGAAGATATTTTATTTCAAGAAGGCTTTGAATTTTATTAGTGCGAAGGGCATTTAATGAAAAATTTTTCAAGTACTAGAATTTTTAATGAGTTAATACTATAATAGCAATAATTAGTGAATTATAAATAAATAAAATTTTGCTTTATTAAATTTTGACTTTTGTTAAATTGCACTGTACTTTTTTAACTATTGACTTTTTTAAAGATATAAGCTCATCCCGATAATACATTCATCAATAGCTTTCATTTGAGTACCCACATGCATTTTGGTATATTTTTCATATATACATATATATATATAATATATATAAATATATGAAAAATCCATGTGGGTACTCAAATGAAAGGTCTCGATGAGTGTAACATCGGGATGACCTTATATCTTTAAAAATGTCAATAGTTCACGAGATACAAGGTCGTTTCTTAATCATGTTAAATTGCACTGTACGTTCTTAACTATTGACATTTTCAAAGATATAAGCTCATCCCGATGTTAAACTCATCAAGAGCTTTCATTTGAGTACCTACATGCATTTTGATATATTTTTCATATATACATATATATATAATATATATAAATATATGAAAAATCCATGTGGGTATTCAAATGAAAGGTCTCGATGAGTGTAATGTCGGGATGAGCTTATATTTTTAAAAATGTCAATAGTTCACAAGATACAAGGTCATTTCTTAATTATCTAGAGATAGAGAATTATCTTAATAATATAGATTAATCCCTTCAATGCTGGAAAATAATTAAAATTGCAGCAATTAACGGAACTACCAGAAGAATTCAAGGAGCCAGTATCAAAATTCATGTCTTTTGTCCACACGAGCGTCAACGAGGTGTCAAAAATCTATCTGGAAAATGAGAAGAGACATAATTACACAACACCCAAGTCATTTCTCGAGCAAATTTCACTCTATTCAAAATTATTGATCGACAAAATAAATAGTTTTAAATCGCGAATTACAAAACTCGAGAACGGAATTATAAAATTGAATTCCTGCGCTGGACAGGTATGGAAATATATATAGATATAAGTAGAGAAGTCTAAGTAGAGAAATGATAAGAATAAATGGTTTTAATTTAACGAATAAGTAAAAGTGAGCTGAGTACGTTTGTAGGTAGACGAGCTGAAAGAGGTTCTGGCTGTTCAGGAAGTTGAGTTGAATAAGAAGAACGAGATAGCTGACAAAATCTTGGCAGAGGTACGAGAAGAGAATACTAAAGCGGAAGTGGAGAAAGCGATAGGTAACTACTATACTCTAAAGTCACTGGTGTAAGTTATAGTAATAGTACCAGTGGTATTACTACTACTACTACTACTACTTCTGGTTCTACTTCTCCACTGGTATTGCTACAAGTCTGCACCAATCTCTTTACTTGTCATTGAAACTATTCCGGAATATGGGGGTACAATGAACTGATTGTTCTATACTATTGTCTCTATAAGTTTCTGAGGAGGAGGCCAAAGTAGCTGAGATTAAGGAGCGAGTGTCACTGAGACAAAAAAGGTGCGACGAGGATTTGGCTAAAGCTGAACCGGCTGTAAGACAAGCAGAAGCTGCTTTAGATACTTTGAACAAGGTATTCTTAATTGTACTTTATTCATTTTTCAGTCTCGCCTCTTCATCATCTTTATTAAAAAAATCATCTGCTTTACTTTTCATTTACCCTCATTTTTATTTTCATTCTTTCATTTTTTCTTTTTCCATTCATTATTTAACTGACGGATGCGATTGTCGAGTTTTATTTAAATTAATACCGCTTAGAAACAATTGAATTAAATCCTAGTTAAATCGGTCTTACTTAAAAGTTGTCTTATTCTTTTTATATTTCAACGTATCATTTCCTTCGGCTATTGTTTCAGAAAGCTACTTTCTTTCAAGTACTCTTGGAGATATTTCTTCTATTAAGGTCATTCTTTTCTTCAGACAAAAGTCGCTTGAGAATTTTTATAAATCATTTATTTTTTGGATACTTTTTCTTCTTCCTGGCAATAAATTTTTTCTTTTTTAAATTATTATATTCTAATAAAAAAAATAATTCAAAAGGACAATAACAATAATTACAAAATTAATTATATAAATAAATATAATCAATTATTAATTATTAAATTAATAGATCAAATTTAAACTAATTTAAATACAATATTTTTAAATAATTAAAATAGAAAAATATATAACTTTTAGTAAGTCAATATAATTAAAAAAAATAAGAATTTTTTGAATTTTTTATTATGAACTGTGGATAAAAATGCTAGTAACAAAAAAAAGCCACTCACAGCCGAAAGGGAAGCAGATTTCATTCTTCAATAAAAATAATAAGGTTAAATTTTATAGAAAAATGGCGGATTTAAATGTAATTTTTATTTGACATAAACAACAAAATATGAAAAATAAAGCTTATCTAAAGAGCTTTCAGGTAAATTCTACAGTAATTCAGTACAATGTTGCATTCAAAAGTTATTCGATAAATAAACTGTAAATAAGTGTTTAAGATTTTGAAAATTTTTAAATCCTGTAATTTAAAAATTACATGATCAATTAAGCTCATATTTGAACTTGCCCTTTGTATTTATCAGTAGAATAAATATACTGAATTTCGTAAAGATCCGTTGCGAATTGAAGACACCATTGTCGTGACAACTTTTGAGCCACACAGAAAAAAAAATTTTCTTGAATCAAGTATATAATTTTGAAGAAATTGATATTTTTGATTTGAGTAGAAAAATTATTGATCTAAGTAAATTTTACTTGATTTAAAAATTTTTCGTCTTGATTTCTATTTTTAATTAGAATAAAATTGCAAGTGTCAATTAACTAGGCTAGTGTCAATAACTGGGTCTTTTACCTTAGTTAGATTTCCATGAAATCTACTAAAAATAATAATAATATTAATATCGATATTAATTTGCAATATTTAATAAACTATTAGAACAATCTGACTGAGCTAAAGTCGTTGGTTACGCCGCCAGAAGCCGTAGCAATTGTTGCCCAAGCGGTTTTAGTACTCTTTTCCCCAAAGGGGAAAATCCCAAAGGATCGAAGCTGGAAGGCCTGCAAAGCAATGATGGGTGGAGCTGATGCTTTCCTCCATGCGCTCCGTACCTACGACAAGGAGAATATTCAACCGGAGGTTGTTAAAGCCGTACAAACTTATATAAATGACAAAGGTGAATCCAAAAGCTTTGTTAAAATTTTTTCAACCCTCAGTCAGCTTTCTAACTCTAACTAAAATCGACTTACAACTCTATTAATATTAATTCAAATTTAAGAATTTGATCCCGACATTATTTACTCAAAGTCCCAAGCCGCTGCGGGTTTGTGCAGTTGGGTCAAAAATATTATGGTCTTTCATTACATTAATCTCAATGTTAAGCCTCTGAGAGCTGCACTTGCTCAAGCTAACGCTGAGTTAAAGGCTTCCTTGGAAAAATTGGTCTATTTACATCAGCGTTTAACTGTGAGTACTTTTTATCTCTTTATTTATTATTTACAAATTATCATTTTTTTTTTTTTTTTTTTTTTTTTTTTTTTTTCCAGGAGTTGCAAAAAGAGTTGGATGAACTCGGCGCTAAAATGAGCGTAGCGCTCGCGGAAAAACAGAAATGTCAAGATGAAGCTGACACAACAGCGCTGACTATTGATTTAGCAAACAGATTAGTTAATGGACTCGCTTCTGAAAAAATACGCTGGGCTAAAACTATTGACATGTTGGTATCAAAGCTTACTTTTAATTAATATTTTTTATTGAAAAAAAAAAAAATATATGAATTTTATATAAAAAATTGCCGATATAGAAATCTGGGATTCTTTGTAAGAGCAATCCAGTAACTTTGAATATAAATACAATTAATACGACTGATAAAGAAAAATATTGATAAAAAATTTTAATATGCTGCTCGGAATTTATTTGTAAAATTATTGGAGTGAAATTTTCTTTTAATGAGACATCAAAAGAGCGTAGAAAATTTTTTTTGCTCCAATTATTTAGAAATGTTGAAAAATATGAAAATAAAATTTATTTTTACGCTCTTGGATTTAAGAAAAAAAAATTTTATTTTTTATTTTTCAACCAAAAAATCATAAAATTTAAATATATTTTTTTACACATCCTTTTGGTATTAATAGTATATAAAATAAATTTTTTAGCTTAAAATCATCATGTGAAACAGTACCAGGTGACATGTTACTAGCGACAGCATTTATATCTTACGTAGGATGCTTTACAAGACAGTACAGACACGATTTAATAAACGTGTACTGGTTACCGTTCCTGGAGAAATTGGAACCTCGGATACCGCGTAACAGCGAATTGAACGTACTATCATTACTAACAGACGATGCCCAGGTTGCGCAATGGAATAATGATGGTAATTATTGAAGATTCTCTCTGTTAAATTTAATTTATCATTCCATTACTTCATTATACGATAATATTACCCCGTTCTGATTAGGTTTGCCATCGGATAAAATGTCTACCGAAAACGCCACTATTCTGCTGAACTCTTCACGCTGGCCGCTGATTATCGACCCGCAATTGCAGGCGATCAAATGGATAAAAGCCATGTACAAGGATAACATCATCGTTCTGCGCCTTGATCAAAAAAATTATCTGGAGCGAATCGAGTTGGCGATTGTTAGTGGTGAAATAGTTTTGCTGGAAAATATTTCTGAGACAGTTGATGCTGTACTAGATCCGATTTTGAGTCGGAATTTAATTAAAAAGGGCAGGTAAGACTTTTAATTTTTTTTTTTTATTATTCATGCAAGTATGCAATAATCTATATATATATATGATAAAATGGGTTTTTGTGGTTAAATTTACTATCGTTAAAAAAAATCTTCAGTAGTCAGTTTATGATGATAAGTATTGAGGCTGCATTCAAAAATGCTCTATCTCTAGATTCATAATTAAGAAATTACCTTGTATCTCATGAACTATCAACATTTTCAATGATATTAGCTCATCCTGACATTACACTCATCAAGACCTTTCATTTGAGTACCCACATCAATTTTTCATATATTTTATATATTATATATATGTATATATGAAAAATATATCAAAAATGCATGTAGGTACTCAAATGAAAGCTCTTGATGAGTATAACATCGGGATGAGCTTATATCTTCAAAATATATATTATATATATGTATATATGAAAAATATATCAAAAATGCATGTGGGTACTCAAATGAAAGCTCTTGATGAGTATAACATCGGGATGAGCTTATATCTTCAAAATTGTCAATAGTTAAGAAAGTACAGTGCAATTTATGAAAAGTCATTATTTAAATAAGTAAAATTTTCTGTAATTTTTGAAAAAATTACAGGGAATCCTAATTTATTTTCAGTTTCAAGATTTTTTATTCAAAAAAATCTCAAAATTAAAAAAATTAAAAAAAAAAACAAATTATAAATTTTCAGAGCAATAAAAGTAGGAGACAAAGAAATAGATTATAGCCCGGAATTCCGTTTGATTTTGCAAACAAAGCTCTCGAATCCTCACTACAAACCGGAGATACAAGCCCAAACAACGCTGATTAATTTCACAGTGACCAAGGACGGGCTGGAGGAACAATTATTAGGAGATGTTGTGAAAGTAGAGCGCCCGGACCTAGAAAACACTAAAGCCGAGTTAACAAAGCAGCAAAACAGCTACAAAATAACATTAAAAAAATTGGAAGATGATTTACTGCAGAGATTATCAGCAGCTGGGCCAAATATACTAAGCGATGTTATGCTGGTTATTAATTTAGAGACTACTAAAAAAATGTCCGACGATATTGAAATAAAAGCTACAGAGGCCAAAATAACAGCGAGGAAAATAGATGAAGCACGTGAGTCATATCGTCCAGCTGCTTCCCGAGCCAGTCTTTTATATTTCATTCTAAATGATTTGTATAAAATAAACATGCTTTATCAGTTTTCGCTCAAGGCATTCAGCGTTGTTTTTAATAATGCCATTAAGTTTGCCGAGAACTCCAACAACTTGAAGCAACGCGTTCAGCTTCTTATTGACAGTATCACTTATCTCGTTTTTGTTTATACCAGTCGCGGATTGTTCGAGTGTGACAAGCTCGTATTTTTACTCCAGATGATCATTCAAGTATTTTTTATTATATATTAAAGTTTTTTTTTTTAACTGGAGAATAATTTATTATTAATAGGAATTTTTTTTTTGTTTTTAGATACTGTTGAACAAAAATGAAATATCACAATCAGAGCTGGATTTTCTTCTCCGGTACCCTCACGATACAGACATCGTAAGTCCCGTGGACTTTTTAAGCAATTCCGGATGGGGTGGGATTAAGTTTCTGAGCAGTTGTAGCAGTATGCCAGAATTCAGGAATCTTGATCGTGATATCGAGGGAGCGGCTAAAAGATGGAAAAAGTTTGTTGAATCTGAAACACCGGAGAAAGAAAAATTCCCACAAGAATGGAAAAGTAAATCCGCGCTTCAGAGGCTATGTATTATGCGATGCTTGAGAATTGATCGTATGACTTATGCAATAAGGTTTATAAATATTATTAAGTAAAATTAAAATTAAAATTTGATTTTTTTTTTTTTAACTAAAAATTTAATAATTAGATCTTTTGTGGAAGAAAAATTAGGAGAACGTTTTACAGAGACTCGGTCACCGGCATTTGAAAAATCATTCGAAGAAATGAGCTCTATTACTCCAGTATTTTTTATTCTTTCACCGGGAGTTGATCCACTTAAAGTAGATTTTATTTGAATCCCGGAAAAAATTTTAAAGTTATGAAAAATTCATATTATAAAAGAAAAATTATAATAACTAGCAACCTTGCAGTCACTATGTAAACTAAAAAAAATGAAAATTTTGCTTTATTAAAAAATGACCTTTGTTAAATTGCACTGTACTTTCTTAAATATTGACGTTTTTAAAGATATAAGCTCATCCCGATGATACACTCATCAAGAGCTTTCATTTGAGTACCCACATGCATTTTGATATATTTTTCATATATAATATATATAAATATATGAAAAATTGATGTGGGTACTCAAATGAAAGGTATCGATGAGTGTAACATCAGAATGAGCTTATATCTTTAAAAATGTCAATAGTTCACGAGATACAAGGTCATTTCTTAATTATGTATCTAGAGATAGTGCATTTTTGAATGCAGCCTAAATACTTATAATAAATAATATGAATTTTTCATAATCAATTTATTTATACTTTTAATTAGTAATTATTAAAATTTAACTTTTAAAAAAATTTTAAGGACGTAGAAAAATTAGGAAAAAAATTGGGCTTTACATTTGACAACAATAATTTCCACAACGTGTCACTGGGTCAAGGCCAAGAGTTGATAGCGGAAGAGAAAATGGAAACAGCCGCAACAAACGGGCACTGGGTTATCTTGCAAAATATTCATCTGGTGAAAAGCTGGCTACCGAATTTAGAAAAGAAAATGGAGCAATTATCTGTTAATTCTCATGAAAATTACCGTCTCTTTATGAGCGCGGAGCCCAGTATTGATCCGCATGAATCAATAATTCCTCAAGTAAGTTTACCTATAATAAATTAGCTTCTCGTATCACAGATTCCAGGAACTAAAATTAATTAAGAATTACCATATAATAAATTCTATTGACAATCGATGAATTTTTATAAAAAAATTTTTCATCCCAGGGAATTTTAGAGTCTGCGATAAAAATAACAAATGAACCACCTACAGGAATGCATGCGAATATCCATAAAGCGCTCGATAATTTTAATCAAGAAACTCTCGATTCTTGCACCAAAGAATCTGAATTCAAAGGAATCCTATTTGCACTTTGTTACTTCCACGCTGTGGTTGCTGAAAGGAGAAAATTCGGAGCTCAAGGATGGAATCGAGTTAGCATAAAATTTTATTTTTTATAATATTAATTTATTTTTATTTTTACCAATCTAATCATAATCATTGTATCACTGCATTGCATTGCATTAATCAACTGACTAAATCAATTTAATTATCAACGAAATAATACTTAAATCTCATTAACCGCTTAATTATTGAAGCACTCGCTGCTAATCAATGATGATCAATTATTGAAACATAATTCGATGGGAATTTTCTGTTGGAGATAATTATATGACTAATTACTGTTTGTTAATAATTTATAGAGTGCTGAGTTACTGTCAGTAACTTATTTTTTAAATAATTCAGGATTAATTTTTGAGCTTGATTAAATTACAGATTTATCCGTTTAACGTCGGTGATTTGACGATAAGCGTATCTGTGCTGAGAAATTACCTGGAAAATAACGCGAAAGTACCCTGGGAAGATTTACGTTATTTAGTGGGAGAAATAATGTACGGCGGGCATATCACCGATGATTGGGATCGTCGATTATGTCGGACATATTTATTGGAATACTTGCAGCCGGATCTGATTGACGGTGACTTGAATTTAGCGCCTGGATTCCTCGCACCGGCAAACAGTGATTACAGTCATTATCATCTGTATATTGACAATTATTTACCGCTTGAAAGCCCCACGCTTTATGGATTACACCCAAATGCTGAAATTGGTAAATTAATTATTTCTATTGTTCATTTTTTTTAATGAAACACAAAAAAAAAAAATTAAGAAAATAATTTTTAAGAATTTCATCTTCTTGATTTGAGTTAAATAATTCTTAAACTGAATATTTTTTGGTAATTTATTTACAAGTTAGGTCAACCCTATGTTTGGCCATAAAAATTTTTTTTTGATTAAATTGATCAACTTTTTTTTTTAAATTGTACATTTTTTTTTATTTATTTTACTAAAATAAATTTATCAAAAAAAGATAAAATAGAAATTTTATCCAAAAATATACAAGCCAATTTTTTTCCAACTTTTAAAGGCAAAAAATTTTATTTTTTCCTTTCACGACATTTTTTATCATAAATGCGCCGTAAAAATAAGCAGAGTTAAACAAAAATAATTTAAATGTTAATGAAACTTGTAAATAATTACCAAATTTTTTTTATTAAAGTAAATTTTACTTGATTCAAGAAATTTTTGTCTTAATTAAAGACAATAAATTTTATTAAAATTATTTTTTTGATTCAAGTGAATTTTTTTTTTAATATATTGTCTTAGAAAAAATATAAATTAATTATACAAATTTTTATTTAGGTTTCTTGACAACTACAGCAGAAAATCTTTTTAAAGTAGTACTACAGATGCAGCCAAAAGACGCCGGTGAATCTCTTGGATCTGGCTCGTCTCGTGAAGAAAAATTAACCGGTATTATTGAAGATATTCTTGATAAATTACCCGAGGAATTTAATATAGCGGACTTAATGAGTAAAATGGAAGATCGTACGCCCTTTGTAATAGTTGCTTTTCAAGAGTGCGAAAGAATGAATATTTTATGCCAAGAGCTTCGTCGCTCGCTCAAAGAATTAGAGCTCGGACTAAAAGTAATTTTTATCTTTTATAAAGCTTTTACCTTGACTGTTTTTTATTTTAATATTAACATTAATATACAAACATGCTATATTAAAATAATTTATTAATTAACGTTAATATTTTACGACAATACTTCATTTGCATAAACATTAATTATTTACTTAATTAATAACAAAGTAATTATAAAATCATAATTTATCATTTATATCAAATTTATTCCATGGAATAAATTATTATTTTTTTTTATTATTTTTATTATTGTGATTAAACATTTACAAAATAATTTAGGGCGAGTTAACGATTAATGCAGAGATGGAAGATTTGCAAAATTATTTATTAATGGATTTTGTACCACCATCATGGACAGTACGCGCATATCCATCCTCACTCGGACTAACTAATTGGTTTGCTGACATGTTAAACAGAGTCGCTGAATTATCTAACTGGACTTCTGATTTTATGGTACATGTAGCAATTATTAACGCTTCAATAAATAAATTAATTAAAAAGTAATCTATATTATTAAGAGAATCAAAAACATTTTGCCTCCAGGATAGTCATATGATACAATTGGTTTTTTTAATGAAATTTGGTGTCATTGCAAATGTCTTGACTTGAATTTGTGCCTTTTCAAGGTTTCGTATTATTCTCACCGATAGTCAATTTATTATGATAAGTATTTAGATTGCATTCGAAAATTCTCTATCTCTAGATGCATAATTAAGAAATGACCTTGTATCTTGTGAACTATTGACAATTTTAAAGATATAAATTCATCCCGACAATACACTCGTCAAGACCTTTTATTTGAGTACCCACATCATTTTTATATATATTTATATATATTATATATATGTATATATGAAAAATATATCAAAATGCATGTGGGTACTCAAATGAAAGCTCTTGATGAGTGTATTGTCGGGATGAGCTTATATCTTTAAAAATGTCAATAATTAAGAACTGACATTGTATCTTGTGAACTGTTGACATTTTTAAAGATATAAGCTCATCCCGATGTTACTTTCATGAAGACCTTTCATTTGAGTACCCATATCAATTTTTCATATATTTTATATGTTTATATATATGTATATATGAAAAATATATCAAAATGCATGTGGGTACTCAAATGAAAGCTCTTGATGAGTGTAACATCGGGATGAGCTTATATCTTTGAAAACATCAATTGTTAAGAAAGTACAGTGCAATTTAACATAATTAAGAAATTACCTTGTATCTTGTGAACTATTGACATTATTAAAGATATAAGCTCATCCCGATGTTACACTCATCGAGACCTTTCATTTGAGTACCCACATCAATTTTTCATATATTTATATATATTATATATATATATATGTCGTTTGAGTACCCACATCAATTTTTCATATATTTATATATATTATATATATATATATGTGAATATGAAAAATATATGAAAATACATGTGGGTACTCAAACGAAAGCTCTTGATGAGTGTAACATCGGGGTGAGCTTATATCTTTAAAAACGTCAATATTTAAGAAATTACAGTGCAATTTAACAAAAATCATTATTTAATAAAGCAAAGTTTTATTTATTTATATTTCACAAGTCACGGCAGTCACATTGTGACTGCAAGGTTGCTTCTTAATGATAAAATTCACAAAATTTTCAGCTGCCGTCCTCTGTCTGGTTGGGAGGCTTGTTCAACCCCCAGTCATTTTTGACGGCAATAATGCAACAAACGGCGAGGAAAAATGAGTGGCCATTAGACAGCATGTGTCTCCACTGCGACGTTATGAAGAAAAGTAGAGACGAAATAGCGACGGCGCCCCGCGAAGGTGCTTATATCAATGGTCTGTACATGGAAGGTGCCCAATGGGACACTCAGTTTGGCGTAATCACTGACGCGAGACTCAAAGATCTATACCCGCAAATGCCTGTTGTTTATATAAAAGCAATTACTCAGGACAAGCAAGAGCTTAAAAATATTTACGAGTGTCCAGTTTACAAGACCAAGTCACGCGGGCCCACTTATGTTTGGACTTTTAATCTCAGGACCAAAGATAAATCTACTAAATGGACACTTGCTGGTGTCGCTATTTTATTGCAGGTTTAAATTTTAAACCTAAATAAATAAATAAATTAATTACTTAAATTATTTTGATTTTTTATTAATATATATTTATTTGAATATTTTCTACATGCATTTTACACAAAAAAAAAAACAAAAAAAAAAATCATTTATTATCGTCAGTTATGTGCAAAAATATAATTTTATTTCAACTAATAATTAAATTATATAATTAATTTAAGATACTTAGGAATGTGGAGAAAACAATATTAATAATAATAATAGTTTTGCTTAATCAGTAAATGTAACAAGCTATAATCATAAAATTTTTCTTTTGAATTTTAAAGTAGGATTATTAAATTGCATTGTTTGTTTATTATTAAACAATTTTAGTTTTTATTTAAAAAAAATTTTTTTTTTCAACTACTATTCATTTATTTTAATAATAACTCAAGAGTATGTTAGACAAATTTATTAACACACTATTTTTTTATTTAAATTGTGTTATTGCCCAAAATACTCTTGACCTATTATTAATTATTATACAATTAATCAATAATCAATGAATTTTTTCTTATTAACAAAAAAGAATTTAGTGACTATTTTGTCACTTGAGTAGAAATAAAACAGTATTATCTTTACAATAAAATAATAATCTTGATAAATTTATGCAAGCGATTGGAGTCATAAGTCATAATATAACTAAGCACCTATCAATAATTATTGATTGTTGAAAAAAAATAATATTCTCTATAAATCTATGTACAAATTTATGATAATAACTATAATTATAATTTTAATTATTATTTATCATAATATGAGTGACATACGTCCGCGAAACATTTACAATGGATGCAAGTTCTTAAAAAACTCGCTAATACGTGATGAAAAAAAATTATAATCATAATTACTGTTAGTACTTTATAATTAAACGCAGTCTTCATAATTAGTGCACACAAAGCCTCGATACCAATTTTTAATAAATTTTATTTTCTAAAAAATTGATAATTGCTTAATTTATCAATTTAGAGAAAATTAACATAGCCCTCTTTGAAATTAATTTGATTTTTTTTATAGAACTCTTCGTCATCAGTTACACTAAATTCTTATATTACAATTTAATTACTCGTTATGCTTGTACCCACTAATTCTTATAAAATGTATCTGAAACGTTAACAATTAAATTAAAACTACATTTTATCACTTATTTTTTTCCAAGAAAACAATTGCTCAACCGTTCATTCAACAAAAAATTATTTACATGTGATAATTGATAAATTATATTCAACACTAATAACAACAATAGTTTTATCTATTATTGTAATTATTATTAAATATAATTTATTTTTAAAAATATTTTAAATCTTCATATTTCCTTAAGCCTATTTAAGGGGGTCTTCTGGTTTGACACCTTGATTTTTGAGCATTTTTTTGTCAAGACCAATCAAGAGATAGAACTTTGAATTTCTTACCATTTATTTATACGCATATTTCAAGAGTATATAGTTAAATTTTTAGCTACAAACATTTAGTAGAATTAAAGTTATAGGGGTCTGAAGACACTCCCACCTCGAAAAAAATTGACGCTTACTTCCTCAGAACAAATAAGTCCAGATTTAATTTTTTTTTTGTCAAAATTGTGACAATCAATTTTTTTCTTTCAAATTGCTGATATAATAAAGAAAAAAAAATATCCTATAATATAAAATTGATGATTGAACTGAGTTAGTTTAGTATCGAAAATCTCGAAAGAATGGTTACTGATTCCTTATTGGTTAGGATTAAAGCGCGCAATTTGAATTCCTAGTATTATCCATAAAATCAAATAGGAATTTCGTTCAAAAAAATGAAAATTAAAATTGCTGACCCCACTTGTAAATATTTACCAAAAATATGTCAAAAAAAGATAAAATGTAAATTTTATCCAAAAACATAAAAACAGAAAATTGGATTTTAGACTTCAGAACAAAAAGTCCGAATTTCATTTTTCTTGTCAATTTTTTAACACAAAAAAAAAAAAATAGAAATTTTCAAAATTTTTTTTTATCTATAACTTTAATTCTACTGAATGTTTTTAGCTAAAAATTTAACTATATACTCTTGAAATATGTATAAATAAATGGTAAAAAGTTCAAAGTTCTATCTCTTCATTGGTCTTTACAAAAAAATACTAAAAAATCAAGGCGTCAAACCATAAAACCACCTTGATGATTCAGATAAATTCTCAAAAAAGAAAAAAAAACAGATATAATTATATTTCATGCTTGCAAAAAAAATATATAAGAATTTAAAAAGCATGTAGAAGTAAAAAAAAGAATAACAAATACAAATTAAAAATAAAATATCTCAAATATTATCAACTAAATAGTATATTACATACCTAGGCCAGTAAAATAAGAAAAGTCTCAGACCACATGTAATTGTTGGCCGAGGCGAACCCGAGGTTGACAAACATGTGGTCTGAGGCTTTACTTTTTACTGGCCAAGGTGTGTATACTATTTTTCTGCTCGACGTAGCCGGAATGTGGCAACTTTGTTTAGCGCAGCGGCCAGAAAGTTGCCACTTTCCGGCCGGAGGGCAGAAAAATAATTATAATTGATAAGATGAAAATTAATTAATCTTATAATTCCTTGGGAACATTAAGAACAACTGTTCTTGTTCCGTCAGTATTTGAAATATTTATTTTCAATTCATTGGTAATTGCCTCGAGCTTGTCCAGGACTTTAACTGTCTGAACAGCGTCGGGCTTAGGAGGCGGCCATACGTCGTCCAGAGGAGGCTCAATGTACTTTTTGCTCAACTTAACGTCTCCAAACTCGGATTTTCTCGGGAACATACCGCCCGCGTCTGCTGCCGAGAAAAGTTTATTGTTGTTGTTTGATTTCTGGTCCGCGTCGTAGCGCGAAGGTTTGTAGAGCGAGACTTGGATTGGACTGTAGTCATGGTCTAGAAGACTCTCAACTTCCTGGAGCAGCTCCTCGCTGTACTGTTGGAACTCTTCTTCAACTAATTGCTTTGTAAAAAGCAGGTTTCTCGAACGACCTAGACCACAATTTATTTCATTAGTGATTACTGGTTAAATATAAATATATATTAAATGCTACCTCTATATTTTTAGACTAGACGGTTACGTGAAGAAGACTTAAGAAGGTAATTCAATTGTTACTTAACCGGTCAGATATAATTCTATTTTATTGCTTTTATAGAAAAAAATTTTTTTTCTTCATTAGAAAATTAATTTTATATTTTAAAGGCTCAAATTTTTTAATTTTATCTACTGGAGCTACTTTTTTTAGTTTATATATTCGGTAATTATTTACAAATGGGGTCAAATTTATTTTTGGCCATATCTAGGTGAAAAATCAACATTTTCAATTTTTTTTTTCAAAAAATGTGAAAAAAAAATAAAAATTTCGATAGCTTTTTTGCCTTTAAAAGTTGGAAAAAATTTCGGCTCTCATGTTTTTGGATAAAATTTCTATTTTATCTTTTTTTGATATATATTTTTTTAAAAAATATATAAAAAAATGAACAATTAAAAAAAAAAAAATTGAATATCACAATTTTCAAAAAAATTTATAAATTTTTTTGAAAATTTGTTAAAATTGTAATAGTCAACTTTTTTTTTATGTATTTCTAAAAAAAATCAATATCAACAAAATCAAGTAGAAATTGCGTTCAAAAAAATGCAAATAAAAATGGTTGACCCCACTTGTAAATATTTACCAAAATTAATCCTATATTTTAGTTTTTGGAGCTACTTTTTTTAGTTTAAATATTTTCAATTGGATATGGCCGATGGAAAAAACATATGTGGAAAAAATAATTATTGAGGTCAAGAATTTAATATGATAATAAATAATATGTTTAAAGAGAATCTCCGGCCTTTCACGGGGTCGCTCTATGTGATAGAAAGTAGTTGAGGGACTTTTATTTACTATATCGATCTGAAAGTAATATAATAAACGGGTTGTGTTTCATTGTCATACATACATGTTATTACATTACTGATGCCCTAGTTATAACTAGTATTTTACTCATCACTTTATTAATTTTTGATACTTGATAAATTTTTCTAGTTTACACAAAAAAAATTATATTTATATAGTAATAAATAAATAATATATTATAAAAATATATATATATAGTTATATAACTGTAATAATATTTATCGTCTGTATTTACATTAGATACGTACGAATTTAAGTAAGTAAAAATACAACCGGGAACAGTAGAGGGTTTAAGCCCACACTGTACTTTCAACCGAAAATAAAACTAAAAAAAATAAATAAGAGAAAGAAGAGGAAGAAGTAAAAGACAAGAGAGATTATAAGCCTTTCACAATTCTCCGAGAGTTCAATGTCCCATTACGACCTGTACGAAATACAGTACTAGTCGATACACGTATGCTGATACAGTTAGCGACAGATACTTAAAATAAATGTACATTTTTCTATTGTTTGAAATGATTGAGAATGAAATAAAAAAAAAATTTACCAGCAAGTGGAACTTTTTCAGGCTGATCTGGTTTTCTCAACTCGTTGGAGTTGTTTGAATGCGGCCGCAAATTGGGAACAGCTACCAGAGCTAATGAGAGTAATAAAACCATCAGACAAGTGGCTGGCTGTGCATTTTTATTGCGATTCTGTATGATTGCTAGCAGGCGTTTAATTTGTCCCGCTTGGCTCTTTATCTGTCCAGCCTGGGTTTCCACAGTAGACTCCAGAACTTTTATGCGCTTCGACAGGTTCATTTTAGCCTCGGCGTCCTGCTTCACGCGGTCTTCCAGGCTGTCGACGTACTCCTTTTTCCTCTTGCGTGAGTCTTGTGCTGATATTTTGTTGCGTATCTTGCGTCGAATGCGCTTCAACTCACGCTCTTCGTTTTTCGTCAGCGGATGGTGGGTGGGTAATGATATACCTTCCTTCTGCAATAGACGTTTTTCCTCGGAATTAAGTCCCAATGGTGGGTACATGAACTCTGTCTCAGACACTTCATCGCCTGATTGAACGCTACTTTTTTCGCTCAGAGAATCTTCTTGTTTTATGTTTACCTGCAAATTATAATAATTTACTTCAACATACTATTATATATAAATATAATTAATTAATAAATATCATTCTATAGAAAATTGAATCCCTTTTAAAATGAATAACAATTTACATTACAGAATAACAAAGTTTATCTACAAGTTTGCTGATAGATGTTATATCTTATTAATTTTTATTATTAATATAACAATTTTCTCCTACACATGGATATATATTATGATAACAAGTGATATTACTCTTGTAATTTTTTGTTCAATAAATTTAATTTTTGTTTTTAATTGTAATTATTTGGTTTTATTTAATAACTAGAATATTCAATTATTTTTTTGAAATTATTGTAATTCATAAAAAATGTACAATTACTGAATTAATAAATAAATAAAAATTTTGTTTTATTAAATAATGACTTTGGTTAAATTGCAGTGTACGTTTTTAAATATTGACATTTTTTAAGATATAAGCTCATCCCGAAGTTACACTCATCAAGAGCTTTCATTTAAGTACCAACATGCATTTTTATATATTTTTCATATATTCATATATATATAAATATATAAAATATATGAAAAAATAATGTAGGTACTCAAATGAAAGGTCTCGATGAATGTAACATCGGAATGAGCTTATATCTTTAAAAATGTCAATAGTTCACAAAATACAAGGTAATTTCTTAATTATTATCGAATTGCACTGTACTTTCTTAACAATTGATGTTTTCAAAGATATAAGCTCATCCCGAAGTAACACTCATCAAGAGCTTTCATTTGAGTACCCACATGCATTTTGATATATTTTTCATATATACATATATAAATATATAAAATATATGAAAAATTGATGTGGGTACTCAAATAAAAGGTCTTGATGAGTGTAATGTCAGGATGAGCTTATATTTTTAAAAATGTCAATATTTCACAAGATAGAAGGTTATTTCTTAATTATGTATCTGGAGATAGAGCATTTTCGAATGCAGCCAAAATATCTAACTTACAGGAATAGCCTTGCTGATGACGTTGTTAGAATTAAGCCTGAAACTTTTTAAATTCCTAGTCTGAGTGGCGTTTATTATTTTTATTTTCCGGACATCCTTAATATCCTTTATATCCTTGAGTGTAACGGGTAGTAGTATCGATCTTGGATTACCGGAAATCACAGGTGTTACACGTATTACCTGTCTAATACTTCTTTTACCGTTGCATGTGATACTGCGTAGATTTAAAGTTGTCTCCTGTTTTTTAACCGGCTGTTTAGGTGTTGAATCTGCAAGTATAATTTATAAAAAATAAAAAATAATTCCACAGACCAAAAAAAAAAGTATGAAGTAAAAAAATCAATAAAGTATTTGAAAGAATAATTGAGCAAAGCGGAGAAATTATTAACAAGTTAAGAGAATAGATTGCGTCAGAATGCAAAGTAATAAGTTGTTAAATAAAGATGACGCATCTGACACACTTTCAACGATTTGCTCAATAAATTTTAAATAATAATACTAATAAAAGTCTTTATCAGCAATTAATAACACTAGAATAAAACTTACTGAATTCAATAACAGGCTGGGACTCTTGTTTAATCAAGTGGACTGGGGATTCGATAGAACCTTCGACGATGTTTGGATCTACAGCAGTGATGTAATTCGACTCGAAATCCATTTCCTCGGTAATATCTGTGCCCGGAGAGCCAACGTTCGAGCTCATTACAGACCTGACGGGACTGTCCCCGGTGAAACTGCCAACAGAGTCATTGGGGCTGCCGAGGTACTGAAAATCTGTGAAATTCTGCGAGCTGTTTTGGTTGTCGTCGCTCAGCTCCAAATGGTCTTCTATCGGGAGCAGAGGGCTCAGTTGTTGTTCGCAGGACAGCGACAACACGCTCGATAACCCGCTGTCCGATGAGGATGAGGGCAATGCTTCAATGTCGCTCTCCATTAGATTGAATGGGTTTTCTAGTTTCAACATGTCGAAGATATCTTCCTGCTGCGTCGACCATTCTTCTGTCTGGAATTTTTTTTAATTAATAAATTTATTTAAAATTTTTTTTTATTTTATATTTTTAATTCTAAATATTAACAACTGTCTGCTACATTTAATTCACGCTCATTAATTTTTTTATTTATACAAACTATTTACATATTGTAATGTTTACTTTATATATATTTAGAAATGTACATAAAGCTCTTGAGAAATTATTTACATGCACTCTTTAATTTTTACTCAAATATTTTAATAATAAAATATTTTGTACTTTATATAAAGAAGCAGACATATTATTTATATTTAAGCAAATAAAATATTAAATTAAAGGACATCTGGTTGTTTTTTAGTTTTTTTAATTTTTTATAATAAATTTGAAAATTTTTTGCTATTTTTAGTATTAAAAAAAATTTTTACTCAAATATTTTAATAATAAAATATTTTGTACTATATATAAAGAAGCATATTATTTATATTTAACCATACAAAATATGAAATTAAAGGACATCTGGTTGTTTTTTAGTTTTTAAAATTTATTATAATAAATTAAAAATTTTTTGCTATTTTTAGTAAAAAAAAATTGTATAAAAAATGATAAGTAGTCTAAAAGATGTTGATGAGTTAAGGTCAAAGTTTCAAGTCAACATGTTTAGTAACTATGAAATAAAGATTCTAAAAAAACTTACAAGATAAGTCTTTACGCAGAGAAAAATAATACATTAATAATAATTATCAATTTAGATTTAAAATATATTAACATTACAAACTTTCATTTAGAGAACATCTAAAAATACACAGATATAGATCGATGTCATCTTTAATAACTAATAATTTAATTTTGAAAGTCACGACGTCACAGTGAGTCCAGGTAGAAAAAAAAAAAACATATACAATAACTGCGACAGTGTGTGTAATGATAGTACTATCTTATCTGTTTCGTCAGCGATTTACTATGCTGTTTAATGATGTTCTATATTTTTAAAAAATTACAGTAATATTAACTTAGTAATTACTTTTTCTTTCTATTTTATATTTGAATTTTGAGTCATTTTTTTTTCCTGAGGTCAGTGATCGCGGAAAAGATTTTTTCTCCAGAATTTATAGACCCTTAGAAGAAACAGGTTTTTTTTTTTAGTGGACCGGCTTATTGGTTTTATATACTGACTTCTTAATCCCATAAATAAATCAGTTTGAAAAAAAATAACATTCTTTAATTAAAATTTAACTAGAATAAAATTTTTTCATTTTTTGGAGTAAAAAAAATAATTTTAATTTGTGTAAAATAAACGAAATTAAAAAAAAAATGCATAACACTAAAGTTAGCCGACGTTTTTAATTATTAAATTAGATCTAAAATATATTTTTTAAAAATTGCACTTACAGTTTTTAAAGTTTTTTACAAGTGAAATTTTTTTTTTATTTTTTTATAATCATTTTTTCAATAAAAAAAAATTCTAAAAATTTTTAAATGTCGGCTAACTTAATTTTCATAAAAAATGTGCGTATTTTTATTTGTATTGAGTCATAATCTAACAGATAAATATTTATGTAAATGAATAATTGTTAAATAAATAATATCAAAGTCATAAAAATATCTCAATTCAAAATGGCTCCATGCATGTACCAGCACGTGTTGTTCCATATGTTATAAAAACTCCAAATGAAAAATATAATCCAGATTGTAAAAATTAAAAACCGGTAATTTGATAAAAATAATTCCAGACTTGACTTATAGGCTTTTAAATTAATATATTACTAAAGCAAGCTAATAATAGATAAACATAAAAATAAGTTAAAAAAAGTTAACAAAAAATTAGCTTGGTGTATTAACATTTGCAGACGCATGCGGTTTGTGCCATATGTTATTTAAAATTCAAGGAAAAAGTATCATTACATTGAGCATTCAGCATTCTATAGTTAAAATGAGGGCAAAAGATTATACAAGAATAGCTGAGTTATAAAATTTAACTTTAACTTGAGTATTTATAATCATTTTTGCGAAAGTACTCCAAAAATTTTTTTTCAAAATTTAAACAATATTTTTTATTTTTTTTTAAATTATTAATTCAGAGCTAAAAAATATTTTTAAAAAATTTCACGTATTGTTTTTCAAGTTTTTTACAAATGAAATTTTTTTTTTTAGTCATTTTTTCAGTAAAAAAAAAATTTAAAAATTTTTAGATGGCTGACTTAATTTTCATTAAAAAAAAAATCCATATTAAAAAAATAAAATTCTTGAATTAGATGTAAATATAAAAAATAATTTCCCGGCGAATTCCATAGAGTAACGGTACGTAATAAAAACTAACGGTACAGTATGCTAAAAATAAAACCGAGTTTTATAAATTAATAAAAGATTTTTAAAAAATTTCTCACTGTGAGTGCAGGAGTGTAGTCAGAGTCCATCATTAATTCCTCCTTGAATCCACTTTTCATCAACGGTTCCTCTCGATCTAGATAATAGTCGAGGAGACTCAAGTCCGGAGCCGTTGACATATTTAATATTTAAAATAAACAAATAAACTGTCAAAAATTTCACACGCGACACAGATTTCTGTCAGTAATTAAATTATTAAATAAAATCTAACAATTTAATAAAAACAATCACTAATTCTCCAAAAATATTGAACATTTAATTTAGTATATTAAATATGTAATCGAACTTGGTAAGAATGACTGCAGGCCCGAGAACGAGTAGAAAAGCCGACGGTTTGAAGGCGTTTGTCGCCCCACCCGAGTAATAAAGAACACCAACCGGTTTCGGGTTTTTCTCACTCTCGCCAGGTATAAACCCAATGCTTGTACCAAGTTAAGAGTCTTTTGGTCATTCTCATTTCAGGAGATACCTTCCACTTGATAAGTAATTGCTCTTTTAGTAATTGCAATACATAATATAAATCCAGTAGATTTATAAGAATTTTATCAATTAAATGCACACAAAAATTAACGATTCTACTTGTTTTGCACAGTCACTGCTGGTATAGATTTTGGACACTTACTTACTTGTTTGTCAATAGTTAATATATGTAAAAAAAAAATATTATTAACAAAATTAAAAACTCTTTTTGGGAATTTATTTTATTTAGAGCTGCATTTTATTTGGAGCAATTCGGAAGAGACACAAAAACGCAAATGACTAAAAAGCTTACCCACACTCAGGAACGCTGCCAACGTGGCAGTAATCGCGTCATGGACGCCATTTACTTGGATTTTTCCATTGGCTGCTCCGCAGGGAGTCCAAGAGAATGCGGCTGTTTTCATTCGTTGATTCAAGATTTTACGCGGGCTTTTGCTAGTGGTTCAAATTTTATTATTTGTTTCATTTAATTGTTGCATCAGAAAGGTGCAAAATTAATAAAACGCAGTTTGAGTTACGAAGATTTTTTCTATCAACAGATGAGTCAGTTATTTTTAAAATTATTTATAATTACTTTTTTTTTTATTGCGTTTAAAACAACCGATTTGATTTTTTTTCTTAACAAATTACATAATGTTTATTAAAAAAACAATAAAATAATTTTTAAAATTAATATTTAATAGTTTAATTATTTTTTAAAGATAATTTATTTATTTAAAAGTAAAATAAAATTTTTTACAGTATTTTTTTATTATTTAAAAAATAATTCATAAAATTGTGACTTTTTTTTATTCGTAATTAAAAAAAAAATAAATTATTAATAAAAATTAATTTTATTAATTATTTTTTAATTTTATTTTTTATATTTAAAATTAAAAAATGTCAAATTTATGAAGATATGGTTAAATAGAAATTCTTAATTCAAATATCCGGAACAGATGGCGCCAAAATCTTTTGAATTCCCGCCGGTAACATAACGGTTACAAGATGGCGTCACTTGCGTCGAATGCTCCAGAACGTGTAGGAGTGTCGGGAAGCGCTCTGATTTTTCTGTCATTTATTTGAATAAATATTCATTCTTTTTTCGTTTATATATTGATTTATTGTTATAAATATATAGTAGAAACAATTAAGTAATTTATTTTTAGTTTAAATTCGGTGATCGCGGCGTTTAAATTCGATTAATAGAGTAGGATGTCGGGTTAATTGTTTGCCATTTTAAAATTCGTGCAATAGTATATCTATATATATATATATTATTTAGATTGAATTTTCGAGAAGTTTGACGTTTGATTGACAAGTTCTTTATTTTCGTAGGCAAAAATATTATTAGAGTTGATTATTTACGTTATTTTATAATTAAATTTTGGAATTATTTAACAAAATTAAATTTTTAAATATTATTATTCGGAGTGGCATTTTTTATGTCGTAGTTAAAAAAGTGATTAGTTATTTGGTGTCGGTTGATAAAAATAATAAAAAGAATTAAATTATAAATCTATAAAAATATTTTTTTAAAAGTTAGTAATAATTATTTTTTCAATAATATTAAAATTAAAAGACGTATATTCATTTTTTTGATTTTTATAATTAAATTATAAAAAAATTTCACAAATACCTAGAAGTTGAAATTTTTTTTTAATAAAATTAATTTTTTTAACAAAAATTGAAATAATTTTTTTTATTCATTTATTACATTGGAATAAAAAAATATTTTTTCAAAATTGCATTTAAAGTTTTTTTCAAATAAAATTTGTTTTTTTTTTATTTTTTTGTAATAATTTTTTTCAATAAAAAAAAATATTAAAATTTTTATATGTCGGCTAACTTAATTTTCATAAATAATTGTCATATGTCTGCTGATTTCAGGATAATTTTAAAAAATTATTTTATAATTTAAAAAAAAAAAAAATTACATTTATTTTTCAGAAAGGAGGAAGCAGATGAAACTGGTGGAGTGAATTTTTGAATATTGCAGCACTGGTGAGTGATTTATGTATCAATATAATTTTTGCAGCATGTAAAATTGTTAATTAAACGTAAAATTATCTATCAAATAAAATATGAACATGGTATGAGATTAAAATTAACAGTAATTTGATAATTTTTCAATTTTATTTAGCAAATAAATCTTTTCTGAAAAATCATTTTTTAAAAATTGCATTTATAATTTTTTAAAATTTCTATATGTTCATTTTTTTTGCCATAATTTATTAAAAAAATTCTAAAAGTTATTAAATATCTGCTAAATTAATTCTCATGAACATTGTTATTGTTAATGAATCGTTTAATCGAGATGACCAGTTTGTAATTTTAAGTAGTCATATGATTGTTTATTTTAATTAAAGAGTGATTGAATTATTAAATCGTGAGTAATTTAACAATCAAATAACATAATCCGTCTGGTTGGGACAACGCGGACAAATAATAGGATTAATTGATTTAATACCATATCTAATGGATCAGAAGCATGAAGGCTGAAGACCTTTTGTTTCTCTACTACAAATTAAATATAATTATCATGACCAGTTTATATTGTTTGATCACATCCCATAGTTCCGACAATCAGTTTATTGTTTAAAGTGAATTCCCTTTGACGCATTCGTATCTTTGAATCGTGAAAGTTTCATTTTAAATTTATAACCGAGTTTAAAAGCTCCGATTCGCAGAGTACAGTGCTTTAGAAAGAACATTGAATTAAATCCATGTCAACTGAATTTTTTCACCAGCTCTAAAAAACTCCAGTCGCTATTTGTTTAAATAATTTAATCCTTAGGCTTGAAATATATATGCCAACAAATAAAACGCCAGATAATGGATTTTATTTATTCAGCACTTTAAATATTAAAATCCTCCATTTGCGTAAATATATAAAGAGTATTTCAAATAATTAAATAATCATTTAGATTTTCTGGTGTTGATTAATATTACAGGGTAATTAAATAATTAATATCTCGTGTAAAATTTATTAAATCAAGTAAAAGTAAGTATAAAGTGAATGGGTTGTAAAATAATTAATAAATATAAATTAAATAATTACATTATCATTTTTCTCTCAACAGGTGTTTATAACTAATTACTTACTATTTTAAATAAACAAACCCCGGCGAGAAAAATAAAAAATAAACCAAGCGATGATATAACGCGCTATTTCTCTATCAGCTCTAAACACTACCCGAGAAACAAGGTTTATGTAGGTCATGCTAATTTAATGACACTGGCAATTTAACGTTGTTGTAGTATATTTTATCAGTAGCAGTATAGATAGTTTAAATACATCGCTGGCATGCTAGGCCAAAGTAATTAAAAACAATTTCAATAGTATTTTTCTTTTAGGCTCCCTTTATTATTATTTTACAATATAATCAGCTGGGATTAATTTTATTGGGATATTTAACAATTAATTGCAATTTTAATCTTCCTATTTATTTTAAAATATCGTTGAACATTTTTTTAATTACAAATAAATTAAATTGATTTTATTTATTAACAGTAGTCGCAAAATATTTTTTTTAATTACAGAAAATATTTTTTGCACAATAAAAAAGCTTTTAGTATATTAAATAAATTTTTTCAAAGCTGAAAAATTTGTGTAAAATATTCGAGATTGTAATGGAAAAAATTTTTTAACATTTTGAAAAATAAAAAAAATTTTTTATAAAATCTTTGTGAGAGATAATTATGTTTTGTGAGTAAAGAAACATGTGTCGAGATAAAAAAAGTTGGAAAGAATTTTTTGCACTGCTCTGTGCGATAGAACAAAGAGCTTTTTTTTTGTTTTAAATATACGTGTCGGTACAAACGACAACGCGACAAAAAGTATTAAAGTTTTGTGTGAAGTGGGAAGAAAAAAAAGATAATTGTTATTTACGAAAAAAGTTAAACTTTGAGTGATAAATGAGTCAAAAATGTATTTAATCTTATATTAAGTAAAAGTTGATTTATTAGTCGGTTGTACGAAAAAAATTATAAGTTTATGATTGAATTTAAAAAGTGGTAAGTGGATTTTCAGAATAGAAGCACGACAGTTTAATGACGGGCTGGCAGTTTGACGCGCCTTTAAATTTATTATCGATCCGAAAAGTGAAAATCAAGATAAAACTACCGTTAATTTAATTTTATGCAGTTGTCAAAGTTTCTTTTATTTTCGTTATTTAATTGCCGGTAATAGACTAGGAACAGACTGAGTATTATTGTTCATTTCGCGAGTCTAAGAATTTTGCTAAAAGTATCTGAGAATTTTATTAATCATTTTTAATGGGGTTATTTAAGTCTTTTAAATACACTATTAAAACTTTAATAATTCTTTTTAATTCATATTCATTAATAATTGATAGCTTAAATATTTAATACGTAGATTACCAACCCGCAGTCGAAATTAATTTGTCGAAAACTGAAAAGTAGGATTCAAAAGACAGCTAAATAATTTTTTTATATTTTTAACTTTTAAAATAAATTTTAAAAATAATATTCATTTTAGAAGATCAATTATTAAAAATTTGATTAAAAATGTGACAAAAAAAAATCTTTTTTTTAATTATAAAGAATTCAGAAGCATCAATTCAGGTCAAGACCTTTTCTAATTATACCAAATCAAATTATATAAACCCATTTTATGATATTCATCCTGATAAAAATT